ATCCTGCTTTCTCAGCGTGAGAAGCCTTAACTCACTCTTCACATGAAAATGTGTTTCAGAAGTGAAGCCAAAGTGTTGTATATCAATAATCCTCAATATATGAAGAAAATGGACCATTAGCTTCACCGAAGAGTTCAGCTAATCTTATGGAGATTATGTTTTGTATTTTTGCGTTTATGAAAAATAGAAAAGTCAAGTAATTTTTGGTTATTTTGCAAACCAACATCCATAAATGATGTTTTGTTTTAGAATTTTAAATAACTTCTACTAACTAACTTGTTTATATCCTGAGGAATATATTTCAGCTGTTGGAACACGTTTATTTATGTTGTTTAAAAATATATTAAAACAGGCGTTCCACTTTTGCTTGACCAGGTAAATGGTAGGACTAAAAACATACAGCATACCTTAGACCACTCCAGATAATGTACTAAGACACCGTGAGTGTCATTCCATAATCTTGGAGAAAAATTCCATAATCTTAGGGGAGTCATTTGCCTCTTCAGAGCGTCGTATAAAAACTATTTAAATTGATATGCCAAATAATTCAAGACGAACATACACATCACATACAAAGAACACACAATGAGCTTGGACCTCCTTCAAACATCTTAAGGAGAGGATTGAGAAGCAGCAGCAGCAGTAGCAGCAGCAGCAGCCTATCATCATGAACCGTAGCAAAAGCAACAGTTAGAATGTTAAAAATGAAGTGGGAAGTAACAGTGAGTTTCAGTGGGTTATCCCTAATGATGGAGCCCTTCCCTGAACAGTCTACGCTAGCACTCCGGGGCACAGGCGAAAGAAGTCTCCTTGATTGTCCAGTAGCAACGACAACACTACACTGTTGATTGTTTGACGGTTGAGAGGCGGGACCAAAGAGCCAGAGCTCAACCCCCGCAAACACAACTAGGTGAGTACAACTAGGTGAGTACCGGGGGATCCTTCATCTTTTCAGAGCAACATCTCACACAATCAATGTTAAAATGCTGCTTTGTTTTAAAATATCTAGGAATCACTTACCAAATAACCCTGCTCATTATGTTATTGTTTTTTTTAGTAAAGTATAAAGCTATTGAGGAAAACAGCGACCTCATCCGTAATCTCTTCGAAAAGAACATTGTGACTTTCTTCATAAAATATGACTTCTGGCAAAGTAAAGCGTCGCGACGCATTCTTCCTGAGATATCTTCCTAACTCCGTCTAAGATGCTACTAGCTAGAACTGTCCAGATTCTCACATAAAATATATACGGTCATTATGAAGAGTATAGAGAAGAGCTGGTGATATATGAGTTACAAATAAAATGAGTACAAAGAATTGTATATTTAAACAGAGAGAGAAAGAAAGAGCAGAGAGAGAGAGAGAGAGATAGAGAGAGAGAGAGAGAGAGACAGAGAATGAGAGAGAGGGAGGATATATATATATATATATATATATATATATATATATATATATATATAGATATATATTATATATATATATATCTATATATATATATGAACGCCTGTTGGATATATATATATATATATATATATATATATATATATATATATATATATATATATATATATATATATATATATATGTATATATATATATATATTATATATATATATATATATATATATATATATATATATATATATATATATATATATGAGAGAGAGCTAAAGAAATAGAAAGATGTAAGAAAAAGACTTAGTTCAAGAAATGATAAAAATAAATAGCTAATATATAAAGATATCTAGGATAAACTTGAGAAACTCAAGTTATACAAATGTGACCTCAATAATACAAATGTGGTAAGGGCATACTGATCTCTTCTTAAAAATAATAATAATAATACATGAAGGAGACAAAAAACGTTGAAACACTAATATCTTAAAATTAGAGACAAAATATGATGGATGATGAGTGAGCAGAAGGCTGTCAATAGTCGATCCTTAATGTTAAAATTTAGCGAGTGTTAACACGCAATTATATAATTAGTATCTAACTGAGCGATCACGCTCGGAGAATCATCTCTTCTGTACATAGCTGTCATACAGGGCCCTCTTCATCTTGTGTTGGAAGCACGGAGCAGTAATTAAATGTTTATATTAATAATTCAAGTAACACATTCATCTTTCTAATTACTAATTTGTGCACTGTGGAGCAAAGCATCATACTAGTTATCAACACACACAAGCCTATAGAAATGTAGTGAGGAGGATGAGAGGAACGGGTGTCTGGAGAATGAGATGTGGATATGAGTCTATATGTGGGTTTATATACTTAAACATGTGTCTCACCCTTAGTAACTCTAAGCATGAAATGAGCAACGGCATCAGTGGAAAAGGTAGAAAATAAACCTTCGTATATGAATTTGTATAAATATTTTTTCCATTTTTTCTTTTTTTTATACTTTTTTCTCTCACTGTGAACTGGATAACAAAATTGTCCAAACTACACTTGAGAATTAATAATATGATAAATACTTCTAATACGTGTATGATAATAATCGCTTATACAGTAAATTAGAACAGGTTTTCGAGGGGATGGTGTTTGCATGGACCTTCTGTGGTATGCAAACCAGCAGGTCACTCAGTCAGCTCTCGCCAGTGTTGGAAACGCTTGCATTCGTACGTCAAAATGAGACCCAAATACTTGGCAGGTCTAAAAGAAATAGAGAGAGAACAAAACAAAACGAATTCACCAACACGAAAATTGTCTATTTAAACAAAAAGTTAAGTTTCAGACCTCGTATACTGCACTTGAACGGGAGCTGACTGGACTTATTAAACAACACCGAGTCTGGAATTAAGACTATAGGGATGGTATCTATGCATGATATAATATATCTCCAGAGGAATATTACAGCACCTTTAAATATGTTATACCACCACTCCCGAGGAACACTCGCATGATACTCGTAATATAGCACAAGATAACTAGGATAACTGGTGGGACGATCATTTGGTCATCTGTGTACTCTAATACTTCACTTCACGTTCCTCCCATTCTACCTTCACCTCCATCGTTGTTTCATTTTGTTATATATAGTTCCCGCCTAGTGGCAAATATTCTAGGAATTTCCTCGTGCATCAATGAAACTGGAATATCCATTGATCATCAGAAAGTAGCACTCTCCTAAGACAGACTGATAACGCAGGAAAGGTACAATATAACATGGTGAAGAAGTCTATGAAAATGAAATATTGATGTCAAATAATCTTCTGAACTAACGATTGGTCGTCTAGGGAGTAAACGTAGTTAATAGGTATCAGAATCTTGCAATGTGGGCTAAAATCTAACCATCAAAGTATAAAGATCATTTAGAGCAAAATGGATTCGATAAGACTAATTTCTTAGTTGAAGACAGTGGCTTAATGACTTAGGACATAGGCTTCTTATCTGAGAATAAGGAGTTTTCATACATCTTTATGAACCTCTTCATGCTTCATTGCATGAAGCTTTATTTTTGTTCAGAAGGCGCATTGCCTTCTGACACTTAAAGGATTTCGGAAGGACTTTTTTAAATTATTTACTGAAATTCACAAGCTCGCATTTTTTGGGGGGAGAGACAATAGTTACTCATTTACACTACATCTTGCAAAATATTGACCTCATTTATATAGAAAAATTTCCTCTTTAGACATACTTGTAAGCCCCTTGGGTATAGCAACATGGATAACTTGTAAGACCTTCGGGATAGCAATATGATTTAAAGGACCCTCTGGGTACTAACATAACCTGTAAGACCCTGGGGGATAGCAAGACGACTTGTAAGACCGGCGGGATAGCAACATGATTTAAAGGACCCTCTGGGTACTAACATAACCTGTAAGACCCTGGGGGATAGCAAGACGACTTGTAAGACCGGCGGGATAGCAACATGACTTGTAAAACCCCCTCGGAATATCAACAGGTGTGTGAGGAATAACTCTGTACTCCCGTGATTGTCAAATGACACATTGACTACCTAAGCATCTTGTTTCTCTTAACTTACCAGAAGTAAAAATACGGATTAACAGACCCAACTGGCTACGAGGATCTAGCATCTTGTTTCTACAGCTGGGAATACATAGAAGCCAACTGAACAGGGAGAAGGGAAGGGATGGATCCTACACGAGTCAACACAACTCGACTATGTACAGTGTAAATTTGTACAGGATACTGAACATTATGCTCTACGGAAAAATTCATTAACCGCCAATACTCTCTCTCTCGCTCTCTCTCTCTCTTCATTTTTATCTTATGAGCAACAGGGGATATTAACAGGAGCAGTACATTTTCTCTCGAAGCTCTTATCATCCTCAGCCGTCTTGTCATTTAGCAATGATAACGAAACCTTACTACAAGCGTTACTCTTCCTATATTAAGCAAATCAATCATTATTTTCTTGTGATCTGAACTAGGATGAAGAGGCACACCCACGGGAAGTATTCTGATAACTGAATTTAAAGAGATTTCAGTCTTCTGTCACAAACGAGTTCATAGTTGTTATTTACACAGAACTTAATTAAAGCTATCTTGAGGTTATCTTGAGATGATTTCGGAGCTTTTCTTAGTGTCCCCGTGGCCCGGTCCTCGACCAGGCCTCCACCTCCAGGAAGCAGCCCGTGACAGCTGACTAACACCCAGGTACCTATTTACTGCTAGGTAACAGGGGCATTCAGGATGAAAGAAACTTTGCCCATTTGTTTCTGCCTCGTGCGGGAATCGAACCCGCGCCACAGAATCACGAGTCCTGCGCGCTATCCACCAGGCTACGAGGCCCCCTGGTGCCTCGTTATAATATTTGTTATTGTAAATTCTAAGAAGTATTAATCTTTCCATTACCATTTGAACCACCAGAAGAAATAAATGATAAATTTCATAATTGTTTGGTTAAGCACAGTGTCAATATCCGGATTTTGGAGATTTTAGGATTTTTTAGTCTCGTTCACTTTACTGAAATTTACTCTTAATTTTGTCTTTCAAACAAGGCGAATGGGTATAGCAATTTAGATGAATAACAATTTGGAATAACTGGTAATTATCACAAATACCTCTTTATTAATTTGCAAACTCGTTCCTTTGCAATCCTGGAGGCTTGCACAGACAGGAGCTCTGTTTGCACGTAGCCTGTTCGGAAAAAGCTCTTGCAAGTTTCAGACCTTACAAGAACGCGCCCCTGAACAAACGTAAGCTTTGCCTTTTTTTGAATAAGCTGGCATCATATTGAAAAACGGAGTCATTTAACCATAAATTCTTGCAAGCACAGAGCTCTGTAATTTTAGAGCTTTGAAAAGACACAACAGTGTGTTAATGGTGTTGTGTTGTGTTAGTGGTGTTGTGTTGGTGTTAGTGGTGTTCTGGTGGTGTTGTGTTGGTGTTGTGTTCTTTTTCTGAAGTTAGTGTTCCTGGGCTGGCGTGAACTTTCTTGTGTAGGTGTTAGGGGTGTTGTGCAGCTGTTGGTGTTCTTGTGCAGATGTGGGTGTTCTTTTGCAGCCGTTATGGTGTTCTTTTGCAGGTGTTGGCCGTGTTAGTATGCTGGCGAGGGGGTACATGTGCAGATATTGTTGGTGTTCTTCTGTAGGTATTATTGGAGCTTTTCTGCGGGTGTTTGGGGGTGTTCTCATAAAGCCTGGCGCAAGGTGCACATATTTATTTATTTGTGGGTAGGTGTTCGAAGACTTGTGCAAATCGTGTTCTGGTGTTCGAATTCCCGAACGGTGGGAGCCATTGGGCCAATTATATTCTAGAAGTGTCTACTAGAAAAAGAATTATATTCCTGTTCAAACTCTATTGAATCTTAGTATGCAATGTTATTATCTGTTATCATGCCCTGTTTATGACCACACATGTTGTTGTGTTGTATCTCTTGGGATAGATCATGTTATTTACCTCTGATACAGCAGATTAGAACATTCATAAGCTCAGATATGGTCGTCTGACACGAACAATTCAGTCCAATATTGTGGCCTAGTGAATACGAACGACACACTCCTGTGTCATGACCTCCAGGGTTATGAATAAATCCTATCTCTCTAGTGATCCGGTTTTATGGTTGTGACCTCGTAGGATCGAGTATTTTGATAGTTGATGAAAATACGTTCTGCGTTCAGTTGATTATCTCCAAATTATGACGAAGTGGGTACGTTTAATTCATCCCACTGTTATGATACTAAGAGATCCTATATTCCTGTTGGGAGTTCGGGGTACGAGTGATATCATACCTGATATCCCCTCATATTATGAAGGATCATATCCTCTGATATGTCTTCGTGGGGTTGATGAATCCTATAATCTGTATTGACTCATGGTTGTTAATGGTTCTTTTGAGTAAGGATATTATATCTGATTCTCTGATATGTCCTCGTGGCATACAGGAATTTTGTGTTGTCCTATGATTTCGTCGTACGGAAGATCCTATCAATATTACAATATAACTCCATAGATAGAGTGATCCTATAACAATGTGCCGTGGCTCCAAGGGATGATTGGTCCTATAAACTGGCATGGCATAAATACGTGGAACGAATGATCCTATCCCGTAGAGTAACAAGAAATCGTGGGTTTACCTCCACCTCCTGGTTTACTTCAGTTCAACCTGTTCAATCACTTCCTTACCTACCACCTTCCCCCAAATGAAAAAGACAGTATTTTCCTATTTCTCTTAATGCTATAACTCATTTTGTAAATAAAATTGCCCCTGTAACTCTTTCATTTATCAGGGGACTTATTCTTGTAATAGCTCAGTTATTTGTTATATATATATTTTTTTAAATTTAATAGACATTCAGGTGCTATAAAGGTTTCTAAGAGCACGTTATTGTCTATATTGGTAAAGATAAATGTAACTGAAAAATGTCTTTCCAAAAAATATAATCCTGTTGACTCCATAACCAGATGGCGCCAGTGTTTAGGACAGACGGAAGTTATAATGTAAAAACGCTTACACTACATTTCTTGTTATGTATACAGGTTGTATAAAACTTTTAAATTTTGGCGGACATTCTTTTTCGTCTGGTAATGGAAATATTTATTTTTCTCCTATTGTTCGCCAAATATCCCATCGTATGGGTCAATGGAAATGCAAGGCAAAATTGTTAGCATTAGTTACACTGACAAGGGATCCCATGCAACCTTAGGATTAAATGATTTTTGTGGTCATTCCCACGTAAATAAAGTCTTGGACAATCGCATTCGTGGAAAAATACAGTATTTTCCTATTTCTCTTAACGATATAATCTATGGATTTGTCTACCCTCGCTTCTGTTCTATATTACCCTAGCCAAGCTCTTGATATGATGAGATATATTACGTGTTTATACTAAGAATGACCGCTAAAACGTAATTGACATTGAAACGCAGTATGTTAATTAATAAATTTACACACAAGATTTTGTTTGCATATGTAAACACAAACTGTAGATCTACATAATGTCCCAAATATTAATGTTAAAATATTTAGTAATTTTATTATTGTGATTTTTCATACAAGACATCTTTATTCAAGATATTATTAAATCTGATTTACCTAATGTCTTTGATTTCAAATCAAAATTAGTTTTTCGCTGCTTGGAATGAAATACTCATAAAACAGTTAATATCTCAACGTCATTCCTCTCTCCTTAACCTCCCCTTTATTCCTATGAGATGATGATATGTGGCGCTGAGAGGAAGACAACGATGGTAGAGATGACTGTGTAGGTAGTAAAGGCAATGAGGCAGAAGCGGTCCACCACCATAGCTGCAAACTTCCAATCTACCACGATCTCATTCACCTCATCCTTGCTCCTCATCTGCCCCGTGATGTACCTCAGCTCCCGCAAGATACTCTGCAGTTCCCGAGTGTTATTAAAGCAAAAGGATGAGTGAGGGGTGATGATAGGTCCCCCTTCCTCGTAGGACCTGCCCAGGAGGCGAGGGTAACCCCCGTTGTGGGAGGGAGTGCCAGTGCCCATAGCTTGGATCTGGCGGATATCATCGTCGATATCTAACACGTTGGCCAGGAGCGACTTGGAAGAGCGTTCTTTCAGTTCCAGTTCCCGCATCTTGTTGTTCATCATGATGGTCTTACGACTAATCTTCTTGCCTGGTCGGTTCATGCGCAGGATCCAGGGAAGCCACTGAAGCAACACCAACCGTATCTGCCGCAAAGGGAAACAAATAGGTGTCAGCAATGACAGCTCTCTCTAATGATGTCTCGAGTCAGCGTTCACGTAACTGTATTGGCAAGAAAATATTTTAAGAATTGTTGTCATCTGAAATAAATGTATGCATTTATATATATATATATATATATAATCTATTGGATATCCAGAATGTAAGAATTTGATGCCATGAAAAGCGAATTCTAAGTCTATAATAAAAATATAAACATTTATTTTGTAATTATTAAATAAAATGAAGAAATTCTTGAGATTATAGTTAAGGAAAATTTTCCAATGCAATAGATAATTTATTCATGCTGTTTATATAGAGAGAAATTTCCAAACAAAATACACAGATGGAACAGCAAGAAACATAGTGTACACAGCTGGGCATACATTACCTGTCTTGAAAATACGATTGGTAGCATACTTTTTCCTTAGAAAATTATTTTTCTTATGTGTATATTCTTAACTTGACATCTGAATAATATTTATTAACCCCACGATTATTTTAACTTTAGATGTGTGGTTTTAGTTCGTATAGTCACAGTTTATAGATCATTTGTGTTCTTAATTTCAATGTATAAGAACTTTTAATGTGTATTACTAAACTTTCGTTGGTCGAGAGGAAACTAAATAAAATACATCATAAAAATAAATTTATAAATAAAATTTATATAAAATTTATTTATAAATTTATAAATAAGTTTAAAATAAATTTAAAATTTTATTTATTAATTTAAGGAGAGGACTTTATTTACGGAAAGTCATTATATACTCATGAGTTTTCATTGATGGTTGGAAATTGATCTATTGCCTATGATATTTTGCTAAATATTCCACACCAATTATATTCCATTCGTCTCTTTTGCATTTATAAACTACAGCTTATGCACAACCTGCACTATCTGCCTTCCAAAATACTGTGCTCTCTACTGGTTCCCATATGCAATACATGACTTGGCAGGTGAAATGCACCCAAACAGGATTATTTTGGGGAGCGCTGGTGCCATGTCAAATTTTAGAAACCAGAAGGATTGGATGGTTTTCTAGGCCTGAATATCGCTTCCAAATGGGTGGGATTACTGAAAAGTGCTGAGTGACTACACTGGGGGTTTCTGCACTAATTGAGGGGACGTTTAACTTTACATTTTTCCAGTGAAACAATTTTCATTGGTACCAAAAATAATTTTAATGGCGGCCAAAGAAGGTCTGCTCAACATGGAATTTTCAAGTGAACTGATAAGAAGTTCGGAATCTTTATTTGTTGATTACCCTTTAACCTACTTCCCTTTATCCTGCTTCTGTTCTTACTCCCCATGACACAATCTCCGCAGCCGATCCTCTATATATCTTATAGATTCTTCTTATATATCATAGTGAGTAGGATAGTTTTCACCTAATGACAATATATTTTTTAGTATTTTCATACGCTTAAAATGATGTTCACAGATATACTTATCTTCTAAATTACTCCTGCCAGAAACTTCAAGTTTTCTCTTCTACTTAATAGTTCTTCGTAACCAGTTAACATCATCCAGCTATTATAATTATTATCCTTATTAGTTTTTGTCAGTTTCGTACCTACGCAATCCTCTTTCTTTTCAGAATAGATTTCTGTTTACGGACTTTTACTATGTAATATATGAACCACTGACCTAGTCTTCTAACTTGTTATTTACACCTATCATTCCCCTTTTTTTTTACCTTTCTTTCTTTCTTTTTGTTGTTGTTTCTTTCACTCTCACTTTGTATTAACATTACACTCTTACATTACACGCTGTTAATGGCCAGTTTGTATCCTCTTGTTCTTCAGGAGATGTGAGTAATACTCACCGACTCTTAACATTCTTAACCAAACATTCCAACTTTGTCCTCCTCGTGTTGTAGAGATTTAAATGTTTTGTTTGTGAATATAAGATTACTATTGAAATTCTTATTGTGAACTGAACGACCTTTCAATTAAGTTAACTTCTCAACTTATTCAATCACTTCTCGGGTCTTACAGTTCAACTATTCATCAATCAATTTTTACCTTACGTAGCCACATAATGTGTTCAGATATTTCCTGAGACGTGTCTCTTAGCAAACCACACATCAGAACACCGAGAAACGACGACGTTTCGTCGACGACGACCATCACACGACTTGATAATGATCCAAGACAAATCGAAACTCGTTATTTCTCCATTTTCTGATGTGTGGTTTGGTTATCGTATCTTCAGCCACGTTATTGTGACTCATCGTCTGCACATTTCTCTTACTCAAATGCAAATATTAATAGGGTATTAAAAGCATCAACACAAGACAGAACACGAAACAATGGGTATAAATTGGATAAGTTTAGATTTAGGAAAGACTTGGGTAAATACTGGTTAAGTAACAGGGTTGTTGATTTGTGGAACCAATTGCCGCGTAACTTTGTGGAGGTGGGGTCCCTCGATTGTTTCAAGCATGGCTTGGACATGTATATGCGTGGGATTGGGTGGTTATAAATAGTAGCTGCCTCGTATGGGCCAACAGGCCTTCTGCAGTTGCCTTTGTTCTAATGTTCTTATGTTCTTAAATAGACTTCTTTCTACAGTTAAACCCCATTTCTTATTTTCCATTGTTGACACGGAATTCATAGTTGCTTTCACTGAACACTTCTTCCAGTTTCAGCCGGAATAATATAGTCAGGAGACAATACTGTACTAATAATTTTGTTGTTGGACCAATTGATGTCTATCAACTGAGCCAACTGAGGTCTATCAACCTCAGAAAGGTTATTACGGTAGCAACGAAGCTTTACTGGCCAACCAGCCACCAGTAGTCCTAATCATTGATCAGAACTATGGTAAGTTCTCAGTGTATTTGCGTAGAGAAGCAGGGAATATTTGATGGCATATATCCCATAACTTTATAAACTCATACCATCATTCTTTTGGTCTATTTCAAAGTAATATTCGAAATAACCATTACAATTATTCTATATCTTCGTTGTGAAATGTTTGTTTATTTATTTGAGTCAATAAATATATTTTTTTTTAATAAAAATTTGTTATTATTTGTAATACATACATTCAGAAAAGTCACCTTCACTCTTTCAATCATGAGAGTTAATAACAAACACAATGAATTGCACCGCAAACTCATTCAATCCCAAAAACATTTTACATTCATTTAATGACATCTTTTGCACATTCTTCTAATATATCTAACTTTTGCTAAGATATTTTTTTATTCTTTTCATTCATATTTCCTTGCTCCTAATTCTTGTATTAACCTTGCATATTGGCTTCCTAACGATCCAAATATATTTGTATCACGTCTTAAAGTCAAATCAGTCTTTTGATATTTTCTGGAGCCTTGGCAGGCGAAGATTCCTTGATCTAAGTATAAATTCTCCATCATGGAGAGTAATTTGGAAAGATGGATCGCCATCCCCCATCTCCACACCTATTCTCCTGCCTTAAATTCTCAAATTATCAAACTATTCAAAAATTATATGCATGGTTCAAATAAGAAAAAGTATTTATTATTTTCTAGAACACTCAACACTTTTATTAACATCTGTTTTATAGAACAGATGTTAAGATAGGGAGAGTTGATGATGGGAAGAATGAAGTTACCTTGACGTGTTCAACTGATACAGATGTCAACACAATATTTATTCATACAATTATATGTGAGTTTCATTGAAGGAAAATACGCTGCTTTGCATAAATATGAATTATACATGGGAGATGAGGCGACTCATGTTGCAACTCAGTTATCGTTTTGCCAGTTAAAGGCATTAACCATGTTATTGGTTAAGGTATATTTAGAACAAGGTATTGACCCAAGTGAAGAAAATATAATATCTCTAATTCATCCTCATTCACTACACGATCGCATTTTACTGAAACAAATTGTCATAATGCCCTCAGAAGACAATTAATTTATATAGTAAATTCAGCCGTTTCTCATTTCTTATCAAACCTCAATGTTAATTTACTGGTGTGGAAAATTTTATCTATATTCGGTACCTATTAAATGAAAATTTATTATTTTGTTTGGTTAAAAATATCTTAGGATACTGCCAAGACTAAAGGTTCTGTGTACTTTAACCTTGTATACCAAATACAAAGTTAACATATACACAAAACCCACATGCATTGATATACACACAAAATTACAGACACACACACACACACACACACACACACACACACACACACACACACACGTACACACATACACACACACACACACACACACACATACAGATACACACACACACACACACACACACACACACACACACACACACGTACACACAAACACACACACACACACACACACACACATATAGATACACACACACACACACACACACACACACACACACACACACACACACACACACACACACACACACACACACACACACACACACTAGTTCGAACAGGAAGAGAACTTAAGATCTCAAGAAATAATTGTTTTCCAAAACCTCAAACATCGTAGCATTTTTATTAGACAAATCGCTAAATGTTACCGAGTATACTATTGAGTATTTCAACTCTATTGTTCTATCAACAGTAACTTGAATTTGTAATTCCTAAAAAAACTAATAATTTAGCCAATTAATCACTGTCTATATGTGATGTTAGATTAGTAAAAACTTTCAAGAAATATCGTGCAGAAAAGAGCTTTTTATGATCTGGAATCAGGGAGTTTTAAAACCGTGTTATTTTTTGGAAAGTTGGAAGTGTTAAATTTTGGAGAGTTGAAACAGTATTATATTTTGGAAACTTGATATAAAGCAGTGTTATATTTTGGAAAGTTAAACAGTGTTATATTTTGGAAAGTTATACAGAGTTATATTTTGGAAAGTTATACAGTGATATATTTTGGAAAGTTGAAGCAATATTTTATTTTGGAAAGCTAAACAGTGTTATATTTTGGAAAGTTAAACAGTGTTATATATTGGAAAGTTGAAACAGTGGTATATTTTGGAAAGTTGAAACAGTGGTATATTTTGGGAAGTTGAAACAGTGTTATATTTTGGAAAATTGAAACTGTTATATTTTGGAAAGTTGAAACAGTGTTGAAACAAGGGATGTATTAAAGTTCTAGTTGGGCAGCAATTAGGTGCCTGAGAAAATCTTTCTTTAAATTAAGAAGTGTTTGTGGCTCAGTATTTAGAGGTACAGGATACGGTTTATGTGGTCGGGGAATTTGTCATTAAAAATAAATTTTGATTTTACAAATTTTGCGGCAAATGTAATTGTTTTTCCTCCCCTTGTTATGTTGACATTTTCATTATCTTTTAAACTGTAGATGTTTTGGTAATGTTTGAATTATCATTGATGTCAGAACAATAATTAGTAAATTAATCCTTAGTAATCATTCCTATAAATAATAAATTAAGGATCGTCTATAAAGTATAAAACTTCAGTTGTGTAGCAGTTGGATGCCTCTAAAATCTTTCTTGTTAGTACTGGTCTCATAATGCGGTGGTAGAGCTTCTCTCTTTCGTCATTGGGGTTGTTGATTCGAGTCTCCTAGTACCCAAGTGAATAAAATGTTTGTTTCCACGAGAGTGTGGCAGCCAATTTATAAATCATCAGCATTTTTATCTGAATTATTTATTTTATCAATGTAAAACTATATTTTCATTAGTAATTTAAATTTTGTATGTCTTATTTTACTAATATTCTGTGAGGGTAGAGGTTTTTATTAATTTTTTATTAAAGTTTTAGTATTAGAAGGTGTAGTGGTATAGTAGGAGCAGTAATGATAAAAATAACATTATTATTATTAGTAGTAGTAGTAGTAACAGTAGATGTAGCGGAAGTGGTTATAGTTGAAGTATCAGCATTAGAGATAGAAATTGAAGAATTAGTACTATTAATATTATTATCACTAATTAGAGTATTATTATCAGTTGTAGTGAGCACACTATTGGTGCCATTATCATTGCAACCACTGATAACCAACGCTGCACCTGACAACATCTCATTTGTACAACAAATAAAACATGCTTTACTAACAACGAGGAAGCAAGCTCTAAAAAGAAATAACAGTTTTGCTTTCCTCTATTACATTCCTCTGCATGTTTTCCTTCGCACTATTGGAGTTTATGCCATCAATCTTGCCATTTTTCATTCTCTGTCGTTCGGTCTGTTCTCTATCTCAATCTCTCTCTCTCTCTCTCTCTCTCTCTCTCTCTCTCTCTCTCTCTCTCTCTCTCTCTCTCTCTCTCTCTCTCTCTCTCTCTCTCTCTCTCTCTCTCTCTCTCTCTCTCTCTCTCTCTCTCTCTCTCTCTCTCTCTCTCTCTCTCTCTCTCTCTCTCTCTCTCTCTCTCTCTCTCTCTCTCTCTCTCTCTCTCTCTCTCTCTCTCTCTCTCTCTCCTTCTCTCGCTCTTTATTTTCGCTTCTTAACTTTGCTTTTCCTCTATCCCTTTCAATCTTCATTTTATTTAATTTCTCTCGTTCGCTGGATGTCACTGGATGCACTACATTATCCCCACGTAAAGCAGTTGTTGCTGCATTAGTGACAGCATGATAGTGACAGCATGATAGTGACAACAGTAATACAGGGGGGGGGGATCTCACAACAGGGGACAAGATGATTGTGCGGACGGATGCGGGAAGTAGGTCAATTGTAATGTGATAAAGTGTTTAATTAAAAATATATATATATATACACCATCCCATTCAAATAAGAAGAGATTCCACTGCTATTAGAAAGGGGGTAGGGGTGGGGGTGGGGATGGGGGGGGGGGTAGAGAGTATGTGTGCTTTAAACAAGAGAGAGACAAATAGTTGGGTACGAAAAGGCATTTTTTTCGAAGCTTGGTGATTTGGTCATGGCTTACCCATCTCGGCATCTTGAGAGCTTCGTATGGGGAGGTATCTTGGGTGGCTTGTCCTAGAGCTCCACTTACCCAGTTCGGCATGGCATGGGTGGTAGGCGTGCGATGGTGGTAGTTGAGCACCACAACAGTCAGCACCACAGACGACGCTACCATGAACATGATGCAGTTGAAGTAGGTAGCTGCAAAAAATGGGAGGAAGGGGAAGGGGGGGACGAGATTTATTAATTTATTCGTGGCTTGCGAAGTGTCGGTTACTCTGGATGCAAATTAAGAACTGGGAGGGAAGAAACATTCATTTGAACTGTTTTTTTTCATTATTATGTAATAAATTATTTACGATGCTCTCTTTATTTTTATTTTATTATTCTTATATTTCTACAATTGCCAATAAACTACGATTAGGGTTTTTGGTGTTTCTCAAGCAATACATGTTAAATGAAAGAATTTTTAAAATATTGGGAACATACCGTTTTAAGACATGAAAAATCGAATGCAAGAATGGGTAAAGTTATAAAATGATCGATATCAGTTTCGAGGTTGTAAATTGATCGTTACTTGATAAAAATGTCTATCGACGACTCTGCTACGCAATGGGAAACGTTTGTATATATATTTTTCTCTGCTATATACCACCATGCAGATGAGCAGAAGATCAAATCTCTCTGATAGGCATGAAAATCGCTCCACCTCACCAACACAACCGACTGGATTCTTGCCCACTACATGTTTTATTCAAGCGGAGGAACTCCACTTAATTTAATGTAAGTAGCGAGCCTTCACTTACTTTATGTAAGTGCCTTCACGTCATAAAAGGGACGAACCACTTCTTCCATTATCAAAGTGAAGAGACTCCAATTAATTGATGCAAGTGACGAACCTCAAATTACTTAATACAAGTAGTGACTATATATAAATTATAGCACACACTGTCCACTTATCAAAGAATTATATTTAAAAAAGAATATACCTACAGGACTCCAGAGGCCTGTTCAATACTGTAAAGATCGCACTCAAGACATCGAATTCATAATGAGAATAAAGTAACCTTAGTTACATCAAATACCGTGAGCTGTGTACGCAGAATCATCTCGCCAGCACCAGCCATATTCCAAACAATTAGGCATGCATATAAAAGTCATATTTCTCAAAATATTACCCTATTATGGGGATATAATGTAGTCAAACGAGTGGCTTTCTCCTCTGGCAGGTCATTATAAAGTTATGTATTTGATAACGTTCATGAAACAAAAAATATTGAAAACATTGTAATTTGGTTAAAAACAATATTATTTTTTTTTTTTTTCAAGATGAAGCAGAGTTACTATGAGGGCAAATTTGTGGCAGTGGATATATATATGTCGACGTTCACATCCATTAATTACTACTTTGAATAAGGGAAATTTGTGCAGAATAGATTACTGAGTTATTCATGAATTAAAAATGGAATGAGTTCGATAAAGTTTAAGCTTATCCCCTTTTGTGACTCTCAGTTCCCAGGTCGCTATTGATCTTCTGTAAATCTTGACCGAAAAATGTAACCATTATCCATTAGTGAATAGCTAGTGAGTCCATTAAGATTCACTAGCTATTAACCCAAAGTCGTATATTACCTTAACACTAATGTAAGTTATACAGAGAACTCACACTAGAGTTACATACGTCATTGAGAACATCCAATTGAAGCTCTTAGGGGAATCGAACCCGCGACCAACATAATGCCAGCATAATGACCTCTACCACTGGTAGTAGTAGAGGTCAAGTCACTTATGACAACGTCATATGGGTGGAGTGGTTCAGTGGTATAGGTTGGGACTAGCATTATGGGCGATGCAGGTTCGAATCAGAGTTCCAGTGGATTTATTCACTAATGTTAGGTAGGCGGAGCTGGATTCAGGATAACCAAATCTTTAAACTATAAAATCTTTCAATGCCCTCAAAAAAGGATATGTATAAAGAGCATGAACAAGTATTTTCAATAATGCAAGGCGGCAGAATTATGAAAAAAGTCTGATTTAAACTAATTTCTATTTATTAACTCTTAAGTGCTGTATGTAATTGTAATCCTTAAGCAGATGAAGAATAGGCGAGAAAGAGCGAGTCAGTCTGAGAGTATAAATAATATTCGTTATTGTTCTACTTGTATTTTACAGTGAGATTCGTATGACTGTTTCTTTAGTAACCTGTTCTTCATCCACTGAATTTTACAAAAAAAAAAAAAAAATCATCATTAGAAGATGAACAAATATGCAAGAGCTTAAAGTTAAAGATGAACTAATAATTCATTATCAATGTTTCAGCCATTATGTCTCCCCTGGCGCCAGACATATGAGGTATCTTTTATATGTACAAGGCACCGTTGTATGTTAATTAGAAAATAGCCAAAAACAAAAAATAAACTAACATGAATAAATATATAAAGACGTTAACCTATGTATATTCACTCAGGATACATATTCTCATTGACTGATCAGAAGACAAGCTTGCCCCTAGCTTCTGTATGTCTTCAGTGAGGACGTGTGTAATGTGTCAATTAGCTGAGGCGAAATCTAAATTAGCTAGACCTGAGCACATAAGCATAGCTGAGCATAGCACAGAGGTACGGCTTGGCACAGCACTCAGGAAGAACCCTACATAGCACACGGTTAGAGCTCGACACAGTACACAATCAGTGCTCACTACATTACAGAGGTACCGGTATACTATAGAGGTACAGATCACTACAGATCATATCTAGAGTTCCTCACAGATCACAGGCAGAGATCTGTCCATCGTAAACAGGTTGAGTATTCGTCCGCATGCACAGGCAGAGCTCAGCGCAGCACACAGGCAAATATATGTTGTTTTTTCAGTGGTACAGGTCTGCACAGTACACAGGTAGAGCAAAGCCCGTGCAAAGGCACAGCTCAGCAAAGTACACAGGCAGAGGTCAGCACACCATACACTCACAGACTTCGTTATTGTACAAGGCAGAAGTCAGCACAGTAAGTAGACAGTGCTCAGCACAGTACGTAGACAGTGCTCAGCACAGTACGTAGACAGTGCTCAGCACAGTACACAAGAAGAGCTTACCACCTCACACAGGAAGAGCTTACCACCTCACACAGGAAGAGCTCGGCACAAAACACAGCAGGTGCTCAACACAACACACTGGCTAAGCTCAGGGCGGCTCACATACAGAACTCAGCAACGCACACAGATAGTGTCCGGCACAACACATAGGCAGCACTCAGCACAGTACACAGGCAGAGCTCAAGACAGCACATATGGGAAGAGATAAGCACTACCTCCAGGTCTGGCTCAGCGCACAGGAAGAGCTCAGCACATCACACATGCAGAGCTCGGCATAGCACAGAGGCAGGGCATATATCAGCACACAAATACAGCTCATCATACAGCGGAGCTCAGCAAAGTTGACCACAGCAAAGTTGATTGGTTGCCAAGACTAGACAGCTGTCAAACCGTGGCTCACCACCTCATGCAGCTGTTGAAGCCACCTCATGCAGCTGTTGAAGCCACCTCGTGCAGCTGCTCAAGCCTGCTCTAAGCCCAATTGAATGCTGACCCAAATTACAAGTCAATCATCTGATCGACGGAGAGCATTAACTCTGCGATTATCTCACACACTTCATTACACCTCAGTGAAGGAATGGATCCTTTAAAACACTATTTTGCGTTCAGTATAACCATAACTAATAGCTTATTAGGTATATAATGGTTCATAAATATTTTTTTTTAGCACCATATATGATAACTATACGTTATACGAAAAGGCTTGCTTGTCCTGATATCCTTCAAAAAGGGTAACTTTCAAATATGCTTCTAAATTATCTTTGAAGCTAGCTTAGTGGCCGGCGATAATATAAATGGACGAAATATGTTTAATATACGCTATGGATATCTAAATTCAACTTGGCGTCTACGTAAGCCAAATAATTTATTGTCATAGCGCTTTTTATACGTGGGCTAATGAGGAATGGTGAGTAATGGTTAAGTATCGAGATAAGAGTATCGAGATAAGAGTATCGAGATAACAGTATCGAGATAAGAGTATCGAGATAAGAGTATCGAGATAACAGTATCGAGATAAGAGCTTAGACCAGAATACTTCCTCACTGTGAGGGGAAGACGGCTTCATTCGCATACAATTTTTGTTCTGCCTACAGCTACAAAGTTCCATAATCGGTATATCTGTTTTTATATACCTGGAAGTGTAGTATCTCTGTCATGTACCGTAGATAAAGTGGCAGAGGAGAACAGATCAGCCGCACTAAGTCGAGGGGATTATGCAAATAATGTGATTTCAATTATAATTCAGACACTGTATTAGAGAACTCCTTAAATTCATTTGCCTGATGAACAAAATATATGTCATATAAAAGCCATACATGAAACGGTTTTTTTGACCGTGCAACACTTAAAAAGTATCTACAATGATATTCGTTTCTGCATCCAATGTTGCAAAAAAGCAGTTTTTTTTACTTCACAATCTATATATATATATATATATATATATATATATATATATGTATATATATATATATATATATATATATATATATATATATATATATATATATATATATATATATATATATATATATATATATTTATATATATATATATGAAAAGTATTAACAAGCATGGAATTATCTAACAAAACCAAGCAACTTTTAAAGAATAAGCTTTTAAGTCACCAAATGATGAATCTAATATATACAAACGACGATTTTTTTTAATTGTGGAGGTAATATTATGACTCCATGTGTCTGCGCGTCTGTGTGTGGGCCACTTGGATGCATACTGATGCAAACTATTAAGTATTATATTTTAATATTATTATTATCCACTTGCTAAAAAAGTAAAAATATTAACATACAATAGTGCCAAGAATGTAAAGAGATTAGGAAGCCAAGAATAATCTCTTTACAAGAATGTAAAGAGATTATGGCCCTTCAGTCATATAGACAAGATTAATACCTTAAGATAACCACGTTCACGTGAGAATTTACAATGGCTGAGAACATTTAAAAAAAGTTATGTGTAATAAGTAGGAAGGCATCCTGTGACCCCTCGATCTCAGACTATGTCATCTGAGGCTCACCAAGAGCCTTCCTCCTTCGATAGTAAATCTATTATACCAGCGCCTCAGAGCAGTGTCGTACTGTGTACGTCGTACCAA